AACCCCCTGCCTCCATCCCTTCACTGCATCCGACTCTGTTGCGTTCCCCGTCCCTCCTCTCCTCTGTTTCCTCCTCTCGCTCCTCTGCCGGAGACGGGGCCCGGGGTTGCTAGGCAACGGGACCGCTACATTCTTTTCAAAGAAGCGGGCCCGGAGACTTGGCCTCTCGCCGGAGTAAAAATACAGGCGCGTCGATGCAGAGATGAAAACACACGCCCGTCCTCAACCCGATGGAGAGCGAGTCTCTCTGCAGCCCCCTGCGCCGGCCCGCCTTTCCTGCTCCAGTACAAGACGGGCATGTCCTTTCTCCACCGGGCCCTGCCGTATCACCCGCACCAGACGACCGCATGGAAAATGACCCCCAAAACACATAAAAAGAATCCACAAACTATTACGCTCTGGTGGTGGATATCAGAAATCAATCGCGTATCTAATATTATCGTGCCATTTGATCCTTTCTTTTTAAAAAGTGGGGCATTGACTGGCACTATTACGCACAATAAACATACTGTAATCGGACACATCCAGGTAGTACCAGGATGTGTTTTATGGTTAACTTGAAACCATGCACGCCAGTCGAGTTTGACGCAGTACAAACATATACAGTATTTTTCCTCTTGAAAGCATGACCTATATGAAGGACAATAAACATACTACCGGGCCGAGGGAACGTTTGTAGATTATACAAGGACTGCAACTGAGAATATGATATGCTACTGAAACATTGTTTGTTCGCATTATGAATGAAAATGATTATAGATCTTGTTGTTATTGTTTACTCACAAGCCTGGAGTTACACGTGGCTCATATAGTTCAGTAATTTTGCAATCCTTGCTAAAACTGAAGGAAAAAAGCACACAAGAAGCCTGTGGCAAACACACACACACACACACACACTACTCCTTTTTGCGGAACATTTGTGGAAGCGGTCTGCATTGCGCCTGAAATATTCTTCAAGGACACAAACAATCTTCCGCATCTCACTAGACGGGAACAGGCCGTCCAATAGGCCGAAGATGCTTCAGTCGTTTTTGTGATGACTGGTGCAGTGAGGAAAGATCCTGAAGTGCACATTTATTACCTATGCAAGGAGCTAGATTTTATTTTGCCTTTCCAGAGGACTTCATCCAAAGCTATGCATGAAATGTAAAATTGTCACTTTGTGTTTATTGACTATTAGTGCATGTTTGCATGATACTCCAGAATGGAAAGCACAGACTCATTAACTCCATATGTTGTTCCTTCCTGGTATGTTTCTTATCTGACGAGGAACTGAGGAACATGTCAACGTGAATGAAATACACTGGCATGTTTTTCATTATCGGTCTTTAAATGACACTAACGCACAAATGCTAACTGCACCCATGCATTAAATCCATCCATCCATTTTCTGTAACCACGTGTCCTATTTTGGACTATGGGAGGTGACAGGGGACAACCCAGGATGGCGCCCCAACCCATCACAGGGCACACTCACACCAATTACCAATTTGGTAACTCCAATGAGCCTAAGTCTGTTTTTGGATCGTGGGGGGCAAACTGGAGTAGTTGCAGGAAACTCCCACAACAGCACACAAGCTCCACACCCATGGAACCCTGGTGGAGACTCGAACCCTGGACCCAGAGGTGTGAGGCAACAGCACTTAACCACTGAAAAAAGAGGGCATTAAACATTGGACAAAATAAACATTAATGATGTGTCTTCACAGCTCAACTCGCCTCCAACAGATCCTTTCATATTGCATGGCAGATGGTCCTGGATTAATTGGAAATATTTTGTAAATTATTACCCTTCAAATCCCAGCTCATCCTACCCACCATTACGTAATAACAGGTATCTGATCCAGCCAGCAGAACAACCTACCCCACTGATCACGAAGACCTAACAATGTCAATGCACACTTCGGTTTAAGAATGTATGAAGCCTCTCACCTCATCTGGGATACTGGTCCTCAAAGCTACACAGTTTCTCCAATTTTCCATCCAGAATCGATAAATAGTGATTCTGAGTACCGCTGGTTCAGAACCTCTGGAGATATTCTGCTCCGATTTTCTTTAGAGAGATAGTTGACCTGGGTACAACCCATCTACTCAGTAAATTCGTACAGCTGGCAGGCTGCTTTAGATAAAAGTATCATTTAACTGTGACGTGTAAGGTGACACTTCACATTCCTCCACGTCACTGTTCACTTAAACACGCGGCGGGAAGTGACGTACATTTCATACGGCTTCATCTCCAATCGACGTTGCTTAGATAAACAACACACACTGCATAAAACTATATCCTTTGTTCACGTCTCCTGCAAGATAAACATGCAGAACTGATCATTACAGCTTGTTTCCCTCCTGCCAAACAAGGGATGTGGTTTATTGATTACGTTTTGTCAATTGAATAACCAGATTGGATCGAGATAGTATTTGGGTGCACGTGTCTGCTAAGAAAATCCTTAGAAGAATTACAGTTTTATAATTAGTAATGGGATAAAATTATCAGCCTGACGTAAAATGTATGCATTAACATGTCCCAACAACAATGTTATTTACTTAATTCAGGCGGAATGTATACTATTTCTGTTTACTGAGAACTAATTATAATCTAGCCTATGTGCTTTTCAGTCACATTTAATTATATCGATTTTTCAAAATTTATTCTTTATGACTTTTCTGCTTCTGAGTCACAGTTTAAATATGGCAGTGATTATTGACATGAAATTGCCTAAAATCCCACCTCAATTTCGTGCTTTATTTAGCGCCCTTAATTGTTTTTCATGATTTTAAGTATCGGCAACTTCGTCCTTAGTTCAGTTCGCTGTTTTTTTCCCGCCACATGTCAGTATAAACACGGCTAAGAGTCAGCATCGTGAGCCGGCAGCTCCCACCTGCTAGCGGCCATCATCTCACACCCACCGGCACCGGGCGACAGTCTCACCGCGGCACGCGCCGGCGCGCGCACGAAGCAGACGGGGAACGGCGCCGCCACCGCACGCGCTCACTGCGCTTCCAAGCTCCAAGCATTTTTATTAGTAAACAGCTGCATTTAGAATTAAAGTCACTTTTAAATCACCCTTTTCACCTTTAAATCAAAATCTGTAATTAGGTCAAGCGTTATAATAAGCGTTATATTAAGAAATGTAAGTTTATTTTACCCATTGCATCTCCTTCGGAAGTCCCAAGTGGTTTTGCAAGTTAGTCTCATGTAGGGGACCAGCTAGGCTACATTGTGTTAAAACTCGCTTAATAAAACTTGCACAACTGTGTCTGGACTTAAAGAGTGCAACTAGGTCTCTGTGTTGCCAGTCGTGATGACAGACCTATAATATGTCATCATAAACCTAATATGTCAAGTAATATGTAGACACACAAAACAATGAACATTTGGCTTTCGCGCACTCATCCTACTGATGTCTGGGCTACACCACTCATTCATAAGAAGAAGACTGCGGGATTCGACTAAGCGTTAACGCTACGGGTTTAAACGCAAACACGAAGAAAGAGAATGAGGTGTGAGAGAGGGAGCACATTTCAAACCCTGTTAAACAGACACTGATCGCTGCCCTCCTACGGACTCCGCCTCTGAATTCGCTAAGTGATATTAATTCACGGCGTGGTTAATATGCACGTCAAAGTTGTTTCGATCAGAAAAGACTTCGAAAATCATTTTCACTTTACGTTATTATTAACTGGTATAAAATGTATATGGTTAATAAAAACACGAAAAAGTCTTCTTAATGACGACCTTCTAAAGAAAGATGCGCGCATTTATCATAGCAATTTGACAAGGCTGATAATGAAATTGGTCAGAAGTCTAGCTGTGCGTAATTACGCAAACTTGTATAATCCAGGTCTTAAAGAAACCTGTCGTAAGAAAAAAGGCAACCTGGATTATAAATTATAATTAATTCACTGTAGCTACCTTAATAACTTGCGTAGATAAGCAGCGTACACAATAGTGTCATGCTCTCCTCTGAATCATATTAGCGAGTTAGAAAGGAAAGGTCACAAAATATTAATATTAGCATAATCTAAGGTAACCAGAGAGCCAATATCAAAAACAGAAACACACCAATCTGTGCGCCTCTGTCCGGGTTTCTCCGTAATCTCATTTTAATAGTTTATATATAAAACAAAACGCGATCAACAGTATACTTCCACGCTATATCACTTCGATCCTTTTAAAAAAGAAAATTCAGAAATTGCTAACTGTATCTCGTGCCACATCCACTTCCACATAGATTTGTAATTATATGAACTTGAATTACATTTACACTTACCGGTATTCATTTCTATACCGCAAATAAAAAGCGTGTTTTAAAAACTGAGTTATTCTATACGCGCAACTATAAGACACTTCAAGACTGATTAAAGTGGTGGATATTTCGAAAAAAAAAACGCACAATGAGAAGCATTTTATCGAAACGTATTAGATAAAAAAAAATATGTGGGGAAATACTATAATTACATGTTTTCTCTGTACTCTTGTTTTAATCGCGAAACTGATTGGAGTCGACAGCTAATCCATTCCATTCACAAAACTGCCCCTTATGAATTACGCGTTGCAGCTCGGATTTACTGCTCACGTTCATACGCCTGGTCAGGCTGAATAACGAGGGCATACACTTGCCACTAATGCATTTTACAAAAAACGCAGAGGGAGAAACCATCCCAGCATCAATAAAAGATTCAGAGCCCATCCTCTTTCAAAAAAAATCGTCTGCATTTTACCAGAAGGAAAACGTTAACATTCATTCTAAATAACAAGAATTAAAAGCAACTGTAAAACGCTCCCTTGGTATATCGATTAAAGATATTTAAGTTGACATTAATCCTGGAATACAACACTTACACGAAGACTATTTAAATGTATAAATAGATTGTCAATAGAGACAATGCAGGATAGATTTCGAAACAGATGCGGAGAGATGTGGGTGTCTGGTTTGTATGCTGCGCAGCTCCGGTGCTGTGATAATGATCCCCCCCCCCTCCCGGCTACACCGGGGGCTCGGTGACTCCGTCTAAAGTCTCCGCCCTGTCCTCGGTTTTGTCCAAATTGGGATTTTTGCGTCGACGGAGCTCCCCAACGTCACCGGCGAGGAGAAAGTGGGGGTGACGTTGAATAGAGTAGGGAGGGGGAAAATGTGCTTTACCTATACTGATGAGGAGTCTGTTACCCCCCTCCCTTACGTCAGTGATAGCTCACCGGGACCCCCCTTTGCCAGCACTGCCTCAGCCTATATAAGTTGCGGACGAGCGAAGCCCTCCACCAGAAACGAGACCTAAATACCACGGCAAGAACGGATCTAGCAGCGGCGGTTTGACTCATTGTCGTCGGGGGAAGGAGGCATTAAACGAGCGTTTCGCCAGCGGAACCGGGACGGGAAATCGATATATTCACGAAAAAGAGAGAATAGTCCGAGGATGTTAGCGCCGACAAAATAACAACTATTCGCGAAATCCGACGGACCGAAACTTTCTACTGTTCATCGCGAATAGGGGAAAAGGAGAAAAGTGAGTTGCTCTGCATCCAGGCAGCCTCTTAAAAAGATCGGAAGCCGGCTCTTTGATTTACCGGCTGCTCTGGCTGAGATGTACCGGTCCACGAAAGGAGCGTCCAAGGCTCGCAGGGACCAGATCAATGCGGAGATCCGGAGCCTGAAGGAGCTCCTGCCGATATCCGATGCGGATAAGGCTCGACTCTCATACCTTCACATCATGTCGTTGGCTTGCATGTACACAAGAAAGTCCGTCTTCTTCTCTGAGGGTAAGTGAAAGAAAAATAACGTATTCGTTATTTAAATAATAAAGTATTCGCATGACTTCTCATTGGGTGATATACATCTCGATCTTCTACTTCATCTGTCCTCTCGTAACTCTCTTTAAATATCTAAGACCGTATATTAATTCTTTGTAAATTATAAACACTGTAAATTATGGCTTCATTCATAAATCTTTACATTAGTTTAAAACATCGCATCGAAGCTTTCTAAATTGCTGTAGTCTTCGTGCTGTCGCGTTGGGGATTAATAGGAATCAACAGGTCTGGAATAGGACCAGGCATGACGGAAAAGGGTCATGTTGCATATTTTTTAGTTCACACTGCACCTCATCTGATCTGTAAAGAAGAATAACTTTAAATTTCTTATGGATTTGATTGCACTCTCACGCTACCGTAACGGTAGACGATTGTGTCGCTGTCCGTGGTGCTGAAATACTAGAAGTATTACTATGCAGCAAAAATAGTACGGATGCGCTTCATAGAAATGCAGTTTAACTGGAAACGTTTTGGTGACCTAAAGCACGGAGAGTGCAGTAAAGGGCCATAACTTAACGTTCCCCCCACGTCTTCCCTGGGCAGAAGCAGCCGCGGCTGGCGGCTACGAAGGAACCGCAAGCTTCATGTCATTTGAGGAGCTGTCGGAGCTGGTCCACGGACTCCCGGGCTTTCTCCTGCTGTTAACAAGTGAAGGAAAACTCCTCTATCTGTCTGACAGCGTCGCCGAGCACCTCGGACACTCCATGGTGAGTGAAATTCACACGATTTGCAGAAGAAAATAAAGGTTCTATTTCTTTCACATATAACAAAATCAATACCACATATTTTCCCCAAAACGCATATCATACAGTAAGTGACTTTAAACTCACAGTCAGATGGTAGTAGGGCCTAAAACGACACGTTACCCATATGATTTAGAAACATCATCCGTAAAACTATGCCGAGTGCTAGTGCTTGTTCACGTTTTTATTGTAAACGGTGGTTAACGCGGGATTCTGTTGTTCATGGCTTGTTAAGGTGGATCTGGTTGCTCAGGGTGACAGCGTGTATGACATCATTGACCCGAGCGACCACTTTGTCATGAGAAGCAACCTCGTGCCTACAACTGCACCTGACACAGGTAAGAAAAACACATTATCATCACTTCCTTAATAAACAGACGTACAAATTTCGTTTTTAAGATTAATATTAAAATCAGATATGAAACGCCTTCATTCTTTTCTTTCACAGACCGCCTGTTTCGCTGCCGTTTCAACACCTCCAAGTCGGTCCGTCGGCAGAGCGCCGGCACCAAACTTGCGCTAATTAGGGCGCGCTGCCTGTCACCCCCAAGCCCCGCCTCCTCTTACTGGACGTCCAATCCGGTTTGGATGTGCTTCTGTTCACCTCTGGAGGCGCAGCCGCTGCAGCCGTGTCCCTCCCGAAGCCCCACCCTAACCCCCCCAGCTGACCACGCCTTCTTCCTGGCCTGCTTCCACTCCCAGCATGGCCGGGACATGAGGCTACAGGAGGCGCAGGACAGGTAAGGACTAACCGAACTCTGGCGCTATGTCCTGAGTGATTTCTTGTTCTTTTTCAGTAACCAAGAGCGTCACGGAGCAGCACAACTCACTGTGGCTATTCTTTTATCACAGCATTAACGTTTACCTGGGCTACGACGTCGAGACCCTGCGCACACACTCCTGGTACAGCCTACTGCACCCGGAGGACCTGTCGCATGCCTCTGCGCAACACTGCCGCCTGCGTGAGTATGCCCAGCACGACTCTTGCCACCCCCCCCCCCCCCCCCCCCCCCCCCCCCCCCCCCCCCCCCCCCCCCCCCCCCCCCCCCCCCAGCCCACCACCCGCCGACTCCCTGCCAGCTTCCCCACACAGCATGGCTCCGTGTGTGGGAAGACTTTAGCTACCAGGCAGCTAACCAAGCCGCCAAAACACCCCCACAGGAGCTCACTGTAATATAACCAACAGCTGTCACTGCTAAAATCGCGCTAACGTTTGTCGATTTTTTTCCTTAAAGTCAGCGAAGGCGGAGAAGGACGGGTGGAGATGGTGGTGCGGATGGAGGCTGCAGATCATACATGGGTGTGGCTGTACATGGTCCTCACTCTGGAGGGCGGTGACAGCCCGATTAGCTGCCATAACTACGTCATCAGGTATTAACAGGGTGCTTTTTGTAGTCAGTCACATTTGGAATGTCAAGGTCTGGATAGAGACAGTGTTTGACAAACTATCGCTCCGTCTCTGCCCCCTTTGCAGTGAGTCGGAGGCATGGTCTGTGCGCCAGCAGCTGTGCACGGAGCAGAACCAGCTGGCCCTGGTGCTGAGCGCTAGCGCCTCCTACCAGCACAGCCTGGGACTGCAGTCCCCAGACACGTTGTCCAGCCCGGACCAAGTCTTCACGCCGAGCAGCAGCGGCCTCTCCGCCCAGTCCTTTGACTTCAGCTCCGGCGCCGAGCAGGCCCCCGGCGGAGGGGCGGAGCTTGCACAGCCCGAAGGCGGACACCCGCGTTCCAGCCTCTCCTCATTGGAGGAGGAGAGCTTCCCCCAGCAAAGTCAGCCTCCCTCACAACAGCAGCAGCCGCCGCGTCCTGGTGACGCCGCCACCCCCCCTCCCCCTGCCTCCTCCCCAGCTCAGGGGGGCTCTTCTGACCCCATGTCCGACTTCAACTTCCTGGCCCAGAGCATTTTTCTCTCCCCACCCCTCCAGACAGGACCGCGTCTCCCAGTGATACCCCTCTCCCCGCCCCCTCAGCCGGCATCCCACCCCCACCAAGGAAAGGAGTCCGTCTGCACGCCCCCTTACACCCCACAGCTGGGGGGTGGAGGCTTTGTCTTTGGCGACCAGCTTTTCTCCATGGACACCAACATCGGTGAAACTTCCACGGTCGCTCCCCCCGTCGCCATGCCGACACCGTTGACTACCCCTCATACTCTCTCCATCTCAGCGGCCACCACAGACCTGCTTTTTTCCAAGGAGACCTGCGCCGGGCCCTTCTATGAGAAGCTACCCCCCACCCCAGACACTCCCGGAGATGGCGACTGTACCATCATGACCCTCCCTGAGGTCCGGGGGCCTCTTTTTGTCGACGTCCCCAGCCGGCCATTCCCTTACCCACACGAAGGTCTTCTAACCCCAGAAGCTTCTCCGGGAGAGCAGACATGCCAGCCACTCTTCTCACTAGATGGCCAGCAGGACAAGGAGAGGATAGAGATTTCACTGCTGGCCCAGCACATCAGCTCTCTGGCTGAAAGATTCTACCCCGAAGGCATCTTTCACAAGCTCATGACCTCCTCCCCGACGTCCCCTAGACCTCCCACCCCAGCCCAGGATTTCATCCCTCCAATGTTCGAACTCTACCCTGTCAAATGCTGGAGGAGTTCAGAACTTTCTCTCAGCCCAGATGACATCGCTCTTATCGAGGAGTGCATCATAGAGGCTCTCCTCCAGGACCTCTCCTCCTCATCCCCGTCCCCCTCCCCCTGCCATTCCTCACCACCGCCCTCTCCACCAATGCCAGAGTGCTGGTGCCCACCCCCTCAGTTCGAGGGGGCGTCTCTGGTCGGCCTTGGCCACATCTGTAGCGTCCAATCGGCGCACTGTAATTTGGCAGCTGGGGGCGGAGCAACGGCGGGCACTGATGCAGAGGCAGCCAATGGCGAGGGAGAAATCCAGGAAGGAGCTATGGAGGTAGAGGCTTCTCCCTCACCACCTTGCTACCCCTCTGCCACCTCCTCAGTATTAGCATCCCCGCTGATTGCCCCTGCTGTGCCCGTCGCCTCCCCCAGCCTGCTCCGCGCCCAGCCCCTCCCAGAGGAGTTGGCCGCCGTGGAACCCGTGTTTGGGGCGGGAGCCTCAATTGCCCCTGCCCTGGGGCAACAACCTGAGTTGTATCAACTCCACTGTCGCTCTCCACCACGGGACTTCCAAGCAGGTGAGAAGGGGAGCACTTCTGCTGCCATGCCAGCACCATCCGATTCTTACACTTCAACTATATATAGGTCATGGGAGTTTTACTTACACAAAAATGTTCTGAGGGCAGAAGTAAAAAATGATTGGTTCGGAGAGATAACCAATCAGAATATAGAGAAGGTGGGTCCAAGCAACTAGAGGAGGCGGGACCAACCAATCAGCTATCTTTGTCTCATCTCCTCCAGTTACTTGGACCCACCTCATCTACAATCTGATTGGTTATCTCTGTGAACCAATCATTTTTCCTTCTGTCCTCAGAACATTGTTTTGCAAGTCTAATTCCGACGAGCATATATCTACACTGCATGTGATAACCAACCACTCCTGTCACTAATCTAATAATACATATATTCATACATCTGCTTTGCACATTCCTGTATGCAATTAGTGTTGATGTCTATTGACCATGACATACTAACCTTTTCTCATCTCTGTCTCTTTCTTTCTCCTCAGATGGAAGTGATCATACGTTCTAAAATAAGTCTGTGACTTACTTCATTAAGTATGGCATATTGTTATATTTTGTGGAGCTACTTTTCCTGAAAAGTGAACAATATCGAATGTATAGATATATACAAAATTGTACATATAGCCAAACGTACAGTCACTTCTGTATATGCATTTACAATGCTATCAGAAATTGTCTCCTAACTTTACTCATTATCTAATATCGCTATTAGAATAGGGGTGTGACGTAACGCTTGTACGGACCTGAACAGAGTTTGGGTCTAATCATCACACTATTCTATTGCACTAGCTTTTGTTTAATCAGTAACCTTGTAAAAGATATTTTTTTTTACTAATGGATTACTTATATTATCTGTATTCACTTGTAGTGAGTATTCCCTGTTGTAAAGGTATGGGGAAAACAATCGTAACACAGACATTTCTTTGTTAACGCTTCTCCTTGCTATTTAAAGAAGAAAGCAATCTGCAGTTTATCTGCTTTTTCTCGTGGCGCGGCGCAAACTGAAAACACTAAAGAGGCAAAGGTGGCCACATCTCAGCGGCACGAGGTGACACCGGACAATCAAACAAAGCTAAAATCTTCAAGATCTGAAGATCCGTAGAGTTTGTTAAGCTCTAATATTAGGGAAACACTATCTGAGACATATCATGCGGCCATAACTTTTATAACACGTACGATTTACAGTTACGGTCACTTTTCAACTGCTGGCGATTTTGTGTTTTGAGTTTGTGCCTGCAAGGACTTCTACAATCCTTTATGGAAATCCATCGATGGGATTTTTTATGGTGTTAATTTGTCGACGAACTTCCTGTCATGTGGTGTCACTATTTCTCTGGTCATGTCTATCTCCAACCACCAACGGTGGGACGTCACAGGCCGCGATGCATCACGGGCGAAAATGTCGTATTAGTGACGTGAGCAGGATCCCGTGATGCCGGTATTTACAAATGCACGTCAGTTGTTTGCTTCTTTATTTTGTTGCGAGTTCACTTTGCCTGTTTATGAACTCTGCCTTGCCCTGTCGTCACGGTGACCTGCTTTGTGTGTGCAAAAGTGGCAAAATGACTCCACCTCATAGGTGTGACGACGCTGATTGTGTCCGGTTGTGTCACGGGTTGCCAGTTGCGTGTGTGACACCTTGCCTGAGGGGCGTCGCTCAGACAGCACAGGTGACTGTCGGACCACTGTTTCTTCTTTTTTGGAGATGGGATGAATTTACTAGATGCTTGGCTTTATTTCCGCGGTACTTCTGTTCAGTCTTAAGCACGACCTGAAAAGACAAAGATAGCTGATTGGTTGGTCCCACCTCCTCTAGTTGCTTGGACCCACCTTCTCTATATTCTGATTGGTTATCTCTCCGAACCAATCATTAAGAATGACCTCGTTTCTCCTGTTGTGTCGACACGCTAACGTAGAGTTGTCTACGGCAAAGTAAAGGATTGATTCCTACGTTCTAGCTACTTAACTGCTATCTTTACCAGATTAAAAAAACAAAAAAAAAACGTTTATTTGTATGACGTTCTCCATCTGACAGTTTTAGAAAGGAGGTTGTTGAATGTTTGAACATATCTCACAGGATATGTAAATAAACTGTATGGTCGCTCAAAAAGAAGATTGTATGAATTTGTATTACGAATATATCTGTGTATATAAGATTTTTATTATATAACGATTATATATGCATATGCATAAGATATGTTATTTCTCAAGATGGACATTGTGGAACAGTGTTCTCTTTGTGTTGTTCATAAGTGTATTTGGATGTCAATCAAATGCATTTATATTAAAGTGCACTTAAGACTGACTCATGTCTCCACGTCACTTTCTTCCTCCCTCCCTCCCTCCGGCTCCCCCCCCCCTCCTACCCTAAGTCCCACCCCTGCCGCAGCCTCCTCGCTCTTCACGCACACATGCCCCTGGCTCCCTGCCTCTGCGCCTCCTCCCTCTCCATCTGCCGTGCGGCATTTGCGTTCGCGGTGGCGCTGACGCAGACGGGAAGGCGCAGGCCGTCTGACTCTGGCTGACGCAGCCTTGACTCAGAGGCTCTGGCATGGGGATGGGCAGCCTTCCTGTTGGCGGACTCGGATCTGGGCATACGGGCACACGGCGGCTGTCGGTGGGCACACGCGCGCCTCCCCCGCCGAAGGGCTGGATTTCTTCCATATATAGGCTTTCCTGTTTGAGGGGTGGAGTCTGCGGCCCATGTCCCGCCCACAACCCCAGCATTCGATCTGATTGGTAGCCAGGAACACATAAATGAGTCTGTTGCTGTGCAGTCAATTTCTCCCCTTACAAGCTCCGCCCCCTCACCATTCAACAAAGTAGCTCCCTCTCATTCAACAAAATATTCCCCCTCCCTCTCTGCTCAGCTCTCATCCCCATCCATTCTTCTTTGCCCCCCCACCCCACATCACCCAATACATACACACACCCCCACTTCCTGCCAAAAATAGCTTCGCCCTCTCTCTCCTTCAGCTGTTATCTTCTTACCTCAGTCTATTGTGCAACTCTCTCTCTCTCTCTCTCTCTCTCTCTCTCTCCCTCCTCTCCTGGTATAAGCTGTGAGCTAACACATGTCCTTGCTCTCTCTCCCACGTGCCGTCTTTCCTTTCGTTCTAGCAGCCATCTGAATGAGATTTGTGCCCCCCCCCCCCCGCAGCTGTCCAGTGTTGTACAGAACTAAAAATAAACTGGTCTGAAAAGAGTGAATACAGGGGGGCTATGCTGTATGGTGAGGGGGTGCTTGTACTCTCACAAGGACTCTGGATGCACAGCCTCCCCCCCCCCCAGGTACCTGCTCTCCCCTCCGTACTCCTGTACCTCCCACACTCCCTCTCAGGCAGAATTCTCTCACCGCTCTCCTCTCTCCCTGTCATCGGTGCTCCGGCTCGGTGTCACGGCCGTCCTCCCCTCCCTCGACTGTGGCCTCATTCTCTCACATCCACACCAACCCTGACCCCCACCCCCTCCCAATCCAATCCCCAAATTCAAAATTTAGAATTAAGTGATCAGTGTCAACACACCACAGCACACATTGTGCAACAATGAAATGTGACCTCTGCATTTGACCCATATGTGACTTTCGTGACATAGCAGGGGGCAGCTAATTCAGCGCCCAGGGAGCAGTCCTTGGGGACAGTACCTTGCTCAGGGTACCTCAGTGGTGACTTACTGGTGGAGGATTCGAACCTGCAATCTTTCAATTACAAGTGCGCTACCCTAACCATCAAGCCACCACTGCCCAATTCCCTGGCAAGATGCAAAGGTATGCACAAGACACCTCCTTCCTCCCTTGCCAAATCCCCTTCATCCAGCATCCTGTCCAACCCATTACATCACATCTCATCTCATTCCATTGCCCTCCTCGGACAGCAGTACTCAATATGAAGACTCAGCCGAGTAGGCTGAAAACGGTACCTTAAATGTCCCTGAGTCTCATTCTCAAAGTAATTTCATTTAAACATTTCAACAGAACACGATGCTTTTGGGCCTGCAACCCTGACCATGATAGGTGGCCAGCAAATAAATGGATAATATTTTTGGTAGGCTATAATAATGCCCTGATGACTGTTTCCGTGTATTTCTACCCCAAAATACAGATTCTGAAACGCCGAAAATCACCATGATTAATAAAACAAACAAAATAAGTCTAAATTGCATTACATTATCACACTTCATTAACGCTTAGGATGTTATCAATTAGAGCGCTTTACAAAAAAGGGTCAAACACTGCCTCCATGTGTTCAAGCAGAGAAACTGCATCCGATCAAACTCACGTGGTTGATGACGGACGGGCAACGCTGTCTGGCTGTCCTTTTCTACGTCTGGATTGATGCACAAATTAAAACATTAGTTGTGCGAAGCAGTTCTGATCTGGACTGTCAATTAATGTTACATCAAAAGCATTTTATGGGGAGTGGACATGAACAGCATATTAAAAAAAATAATGGTCAAAGAATTGTGCGTACGGTGAAGCTCAAACGTCATCTCTGTATCTAACGGTATCTACGCCATCATATACTATAGATATAAATCGTGCACCGCTTACTATTATAATTAACCACTCAGGCCATACTCTGCATTACCTGCTTCGTGACCTTTGCACCAGCACAGCGATCCCGTGCTGAATAAGCGGTTGGAAGAGAAAATTACCGTTAGAGAGACGATAAGGAAATTCGTTTAAAGAGAAAAATGAGAACGTGCTTTTGTTTATCAATTACATAATGTCTGAATAGGCAACATATCAAATAGATGGTGTGGGTTATTTCACGTGTCCCACAGCTTTATACCCGGAATCATTTTACAATTGACTATATCTACCCGGGAAAAATATAGTGAACATCAGGGTACTTCCGGCTGTTCTTAAAGGGACTGCGGAAAGGGTCCAGCCAGAAATTTTATTCCTTAATTTTGCTGGATTGTTTCTTTGTAGATGTATCTCATATAGATATAAATATATACAATAAGGGACGTCTTTGCTGAAATTCTGGATTAAAAGGTAACCCCAAAGGGCATGGTGATACTTTGGTTAGTGCATGCAAGGTGACCGGGAAAACGTGTCAAATTTTTCCAGTGCGGCCCGGTGCTTATAAATACCAGAGATTATGTGCTATCGCGACGGCTCGCATGACTTGATTTTAACCAAACGGACGCATTTAAATCATTTATTTTTATTTTGTTAAACTGCAGATTCGATTAGTTAAAATTTGGATTTGTGCATATATATAGAAGGATCATGCAGTAAAAACGCCTGACTCGATTTTAAACACTTTCTCACATTTTTGTTTTAAAGCTTTTAACACCTAACCATTAATGCTATTGGAGATGCGTTTCTTAAAAGTCCGTGTTAAATTCATTAGTTTCTCGGCTTGGTGACGTCACATGGCTCTCGTTTTATGCTGTCAGACGTTCAACATTTATTTGTAACGAATGCTTTTTAAATATCTTTATCCCTTTTTTCTGTTTGGCAGAAGAGATGACTACCTTCTGGAGCATCAGACCTCTGTTGTCATCTCTATTGCAGGGTGGGTGTTTCAGTAAAATTACATAATAATAATAATAAATGACAATGACACTTTATTGATCCCCGTGGTGAAATTCTCTTTGCACCTACCCAATCTTGCTCTCCATGGCACTCAGACGCGTATATAGGTGCGAGCGAGCTTGGCAGCGAACATTCACCAGCCATCTGGAATAATACGTTTACATTTACTCCTTGGCATGTTTTTGTTTAAAAATTTGACTTGGAATACAGAATAATATTGCTGTGAATTACCTGGCAGCCATTATCAGTACGCTGTTTGAAAGTCTTACGTAGGTAGTAAATCAGATGCCTTGTGAGTCCAGTGTAGTTCTCTGTAGCCTAATATTATAGCAAATGATTTGATCTGGTTTTATTTGATCTGCTAACAATGAATCAGCCGACATGTTAAATATGTTCCTGAAATGTAACTTTATGATATAGTAAATAATTTAGGCTGTTTATTTTTTTTACTCTAACCTGGCTCTGCCGCTGCCAGAACTGCCAGTTGCACACAGTGTGCAATGTAATCTTTTTTTTATTTTTATAATTATTATTAATTTTGTAAAATAATTCTGAGGGACAGCATGGTGGTGCGGTAGTTAGCACTATCGCCTCACACTCTGGGACCTGGGTTCCATGTGTGTGGAGTTTGCATGTTCTCCCCGTGTCTTCATGGGGTTTCCTCTGGGTACTCTGGTTTCCCCCCACAGTCCAAAAGCATGCTGAGGATAACTGGGGTTACTGAACTGCCCACTGGTGTGTGACTGTGCCCTGTGATGGGTTGGCACCCTATCCTGGGTTGTTCCCTGCCTTGCACCCGTAGCCTCTGGGATAGGTCACAGCCTCTGCTGTGTGGTTACAGAAGATGGATGGATGGAAAATAATTGTGAAATAAACAAGCATGGATCACTAAAAACATAATAAAGTGTCAAATTGCAAGCAGATGAAGTTGTAATCACATGGGGTTTGGACCAGCCTTTGACATGTAAGTCTTGATTAAAACCTTCCTTCCTGGCTCTTCAGTGCCGGGCTTCATCTCCCCTTGGTCCCGCCCCCTCCTGTCGAGGGCCATGGCGACGCTCAATCAGATGCACCGGAAGGGCCGACCCCCGCCGCCGCAGCCCCGCATTGGAGCCACGTTCGGCCGCCCCCAGCTGAAGGCGGTGGTCCTGAAGACGCTCATCCGGAAGCCGAAAAAGCCGAACTCTGCGAACCGCAAGTGTGCAAGGGTGCGGCTCTCCAACGGCCAGGAGGCGGTGGCGTTCATTCCCGGGGAGGGACATAATCTCCAGGAGCACAACGTGGTGCTCGTGGAGGGGGGCAGGACGCAGGACTTACCGGGGGTGAAGCTGAAAGTGGTGCGGGGCAAGTATGACTGTGCGCATGTCGTGAAGAAGAAGCAGTGAAGATGGAGAAGAGCTTCCCGGATGGGGTTTGATTTGCATCCCGCTTGTGAGGATGAACAGACTGAGTCGTGACAACAGACGGTGGTTCATTTGTGTCCAGCTATTTTTTTTTTCCCCCTGAAAATAAATATTGTTTTGCGTGGAACTATGTGCGTGGTTGTAGTTATGCTGTTTTCTGCCTCTTGCTGATTAATTATGGCATGGAGGTTGTTAATTTTTAAGAATCCTTAAGAATGATATTATGAATTTTTCTTTGCAGTCATACCTGTTCATGAAAATTAGTCAAGCATCTGTTGCTTCACAGCTCTTTAGAGCTATTTAAAAACTTTTAATGGAGATTTTAATATTACAATGTTACAATTTTTGGTTGTTTATTACATAATGCACAATATTACGTTTTTCTCATTAAAAACTGTAACTCCCACATTTTTTAAATAACTACGGCAATATGTAATAATTTATTACAAAACGCACAGAAATGTATAACGCTGCTTTCAAGCTGTCTATTACAAAATGCGACAGACTATTACAGAATGCGTGTGCTATTACATAATGATGTGAGATTCTGTTACGTTTTGACAAAATGCAGTATTATTACATGATGTGTTGTAACTCACATTTTTGCATGTGCTTTGTGTTGGAGCTGGGGACCCTGACAAGCAGACGGCGGCCCAGTGTGCACACAACACTGATTTATTTAAAGGGACACTAAGAGAGTACAAAGGCACAGCACAACAAGCAGTTACTGAGGTTTACCGAAAGCAAATGTCACAGCTTAAAGCTCTGTTCATGCTCTTCCTGTGCCACTCACTCAAATGTGTTGTGTTCTGCTGATCGAGTATCTAGTTACTTTGGAGCCATACTTTTACGCTAATTTAATGGAGTTACTAATGTCCTGTTGTATTTACAAATCCTACATACAAATGTAACAAATCCTCCCACTGTTGGTGGAGAAGGCAACAAGTCAGTGAAGTTAATATATATCAAAAAGAATTTAACTATAATGGCCAACTTTAGCTAGTCACTATAAATGCAGTGTATGGGACACACAGAGGTGGATAGTTCAGGTCCAGAAAGGACAAATCCAGACCAAGATTTTGTTTCAACCAACCAGTTGAGTACTCCGGCTGTGTTCGAATTCATGGGCTGCATCCTTCGAAGGGCCCTGCAATGAATCCTGGGTTATGTTGGGCTGGAAGAATGCATTCTTAGACCGCATTTGTAGGACCTTTCGAAATGGGACAGATTTGTAATGCATTCAGTCTTTGAATGCAGCTTTAGAAGGATGTTTCAACTGGTTAGTTGAAACAAAATCTTGGTCTGGACTTGTACTTCCTGAACCTAAACTTTTCGTTTCTGACGATACTCATCAAAGTGACAGGAAATCTGGGCCTTTCACCATTAAATAATGCTTTTCAAATTATATTGTGGATGAAATTAACTATACCTTTAAATTGCTGCTGTTTAATGCAGTTGGGGTGTTTTTGGTATCTTATTGTTCATCTGAAAGCTTCAACAGCACATGCAGGAATTGAAATAAAAGTAATTCTGAAATTAGTTCCTATTTCACATAACTAATGTTACTATGAAGGGGAGATGGAGGACGGGGCTAGTCCCTATAGTTTACGCATAAATATATATGAAAATTAAATGAATCGCTTACGGTATATCAAATTAAAGCTTTCAGTGTAACATGGAACAATTTCAATGGGTTAGGACAGAATGGTTTTTGCTACCCGAGCAACAGACAGTGTAGCACCATTAGACGCAGCTAAACTGCGTCATTTCCGGTAAGAGACGGGCACGTTTCCTTTACATGTTTAATCGGCTTCGCTGCGTAATATACGTGGTGTGGTTGTGATTTGAGTGTATTTAACAAACTAGAAGGTTGACAGAAGGATAATAATGGCTGAAGCCATTCAAAAGAAACTGCAGTCCGAGCTGGAAAAATATCAACAGCTACAGAAAGGTACTGAGAGAGAGAGAGACTGTCGTGGATTCATAACCTCGACTATACTGTACTGTGTAACGGCTAACTGTTACACGTCATGTTTTTAGCACGAAATTACACGGTCTAACGTAAAACGTTGCATGCAGTATTGTTTTTGTTGCTGTAGTTCATATTATATTTGAATATTGCATGATATGTGATGATGATGATAAAACATATTAATGGAAGGAACACGTTCGTCGGGTACCTACTGCTTGAGATTATGTATTGAAGAATTTTTGGGGGAAAATCATGGAAAAATTAAATTCGTTGTTGCTTAATGTGTAATGGCCAGTTTATCTTTCCTAGATGTAAGTAAAAGCATGTCAGCCAGACAAAAATTAGAAGCCCAGCTGACAGAGAACAACATCGTGAAAGAGGTACGTCCTGCACGCGGTGTGTTACGAAAATAAGCTTAGTGGGCCTTTGCGAGCTGTGTCATGTTTGTGCCATTGCGCTGGGTGCCGCAGGAGCTGAATCTGCTGGACAGCGAGAACACTGTGTTCAAGCTCATCGGTCCAGTTCTGGTGAAGCAGGACTTGGACGAAGCCAAGGCAACTGTTTCCAAGAGACTGGAGTACATCAATGGAGAGATGTGAGTTCCAGGGGAAATTCGATACCCTGCAAATTGAAACGTATATTCTGAATTCACAGACCTGCCACTTTGTTGTTCCATATCAAATCGTCACAGTGACAGTAGGCAATACTTTCATAGTGACAAATCAACGTTTCACCAAAACAAAGTACCCTTTTGGACTGCAAGGTCTCGAAAAGGCGTTTGTTATCAGTGCACCTAGTTCAAAGGGTGGTCGTGCTCCTTCCTGTGACCTGAACAAAATTCACATTCTCTTCCCAAAATTTATGCAGAATTAATAACTCTTGAGCATCGCCATGTCCAGTTAAGTACGCTTTTGCAAAATTATGGAAGTCAAGGTCTTAATTGTGATGCATAGCCTGAAGGTATTCAAAATGATAAACTATTGAAATAGGATATTACCAAAAATCTGTAACATTGTAATATTAAAAGCTATTTGGTGAAATGCTGACTTCTTACTATGGAAGTATTGACTGCTGTCACTGTGATTCCTAATACCATTTACAATGATAGTTTATGTCCTGAAAAGAAAAAGTTCTTTCTGTGGTTTACCCATTACTGGTGATAGTGCTTCGACGTGGTTTTGGGAATCAATAAAAATGCACCTGTGGAATTTTTCAGGGGAATCTGAGAGGGTGACCTGGGACCCTCTGGGTGATTTGATACAGAATATCTTATTGCATCATTTTGTTGTATGGATATTCCTACATTTCAGAATTATGATTTTGTCTGGAGCAGAGGTTGCGTTAGACTTTCTCGTTGTCTGTCGTTTTGATGGACAGGATTTAAAATTATTCCAACAAACAAAACAACAAATTTATTTTTGTATAGCGCGTTATGACAATATTACATTGCGTCAAAGCGCTTCCCCACCCAAAGCCCCCAGTGAGTAAGCCATAGGCGACAGTGGCAGGGAAAAACTCCCTAGAAGGAAGAAACCTTGGGAGGGACCAGACTCAAAGGGGGAGCCCATCCTCCAGGGGGCAGCAGGGAGAGTCAAATCGGAGAGATGGCTAAGTCACACTGTCTAAGTCATAAAATATTAGTCTCAACCGGGAGTAGGGGGGAGATGACAAGCCAGTGCCAACGCTCCCTCCAATCGCCAGGCAACCAGAAGGCAGGCAGCGGGTCATACATGGAGGATGGATGCACGGTCGTCATTGGTAGTGGCGACGTCACATGTTGCAGGGTGTGCTGGACATCTTGATAGACTGAGGTCTCCAGGCAACACCACCAGGAGGAGTAGGGGAAATAAAATATGCAATTAGTCAAAGTAAGGGAGACTATAGGCAGTGCTAAAAGTTAGATGAGTGCAAAATGAAGTGCAATGTGCAAACTCCGGCAGATATGGCTATGGCAGCATAAGTAGGAGGGAGAGGCAGGGGGGAATGCAGGCATGGGGGGTCCCTGAAATGTCAGCACTCCAATCCCACAAGCGATTGTGAAGCTAGAGTGACAGCACTGTCAATTCAGTTTATCCAAAGCCAATGGCACCGATCCCCACCCAGCTGTACACCTCACACTATAGGTCTAACTGGGGGTGAGGAGTTAGCTAGAGCTAGAACTAGAACTAGAGTACTATAAGCTAAACTAAACAGGTGTGTCATTCATAACAAAATTAATATACAGGACAGGTTTATAGATTATGCAGATACCTGATCAGCATCTTCTCACCTTTCGTAGCTTCATTGGGGGGCATGTTACCCCCGACGTATCTGTGCTCTTAGCTGTGAACCAATCGGCAAACTGAAGACCCCGGTTTTAAAAAGCTGGTCCTTCCAATCATTGATTAAAACCTCTGAGCAGTTCCATTCTTTCTGCCCCCTGTTGTTGTGTCTTGGTAATGCAGCAAGTTCCTTTTTCGGGTGGGGCGGGGCTCTGGGAGATTTTGGCCAATCACTTCGGCTCCTTTTTCTCCCTCATTCAGCCAGCGCTATGAGACCCTGCTGAAGGATCTGGAGCGCAAGTCGGATCAGCACCGGGAAGTTCTGACGAGCCTGCAGCAGGAGTACCAGCGGGCCCAGGGCCGAGCGGCAGGGAAGGTTTAGGTGTGGGGGGTGCACACCTAAAGCTGGGCAAAGTCAAAATTAGCAAGAGGAAGGGCGGTCAGACTGATGGGAGTGGGAGGGGGGATTAATCTTTGTTTTGTTCACTGCGGCTAATTTTCATAATACTGCAGACCTGCTGCATCAAATAATAAAAATGCTCTGAAAGGTTTTTTGTTACTATGATGAATAAAGTTGTAATTTATTTGCTTATGTGTCACCATCTTTGCTCCATGGTATTCTCTGACTTAGCGGTGTGGTCTGTTCGCTGATCTGACACTGATCCATGGTAGTCTCTGACTTAGCGGTGTGGTCTGTTCGCTGATCTGACACTGATCCCCTGTGTCTTTGGTGCCATGCTGGTTTGCGAAAAGTGGGAGATCAGTGTGGTTCTGATCATGCATAACAGCGCCTGGAATCCGGAGTTCACCGTCACAATTTGCGCTGAGGGGATTTTACGACGACGTTACTATGAGTAACCTAACTGCTGCAGTGCATGATGGGAATGATACTTGGAGGCTACTTAGATTTCATCATTAAGGGGGGGGGGGGGGTACGGTTGTTCCCCCACTGCTCCTGTGTACAATCCTCATACATCTCAGGTACTCGGCAGGTAACTCGGGTTGTAATGTCAGCTGTCAGATCAGCTAAGTACCTGTTTTCTGTGATGCATATTTCCCCAATTTTGATAGAATAATTACATTATTTTATAATTTTATAAAACCTCGCTGCCCGTGATCAGAAGGTTACTGGTTTGAGTTTGGCCTCGCCAGCACGCTCACATGTCTGTGGGCCCTTGAGCGAGGCCCTTAACCCCCAGCTCCCTGGGGGTCACAAGGTGGATGCCCCTTTGCTGGGACCCCTGAGGCTGATCTTACCTGCGTGGGAAGCAAGATCGTCAAAATACAAACAAAAAATTACAAAAAAAGGGCAAAGCCCATCGCAATGACGGGCTGCAGAAGTTCCGATCGATCGCTACTGACCCCAAACCCCCTGCTCACTCTCAAAGTCTATCACCATGTGCTGTGTTTGCAATTCGTCTGTTTGCAGCTGTGTCAGTCCTAGACTGGGTCTTAACAGCATAGAAATTATCTTTTACTTCAGCATTTGGATGGATTTATATTGCAATAGTAATTTAAATTTTAACAAAAAAGAATTATATTTAAAAACTCTGTTTATGTAGCATAAATGAGTAATTCCACATTTGATTTAGTCCTACAAAGATATAATGCGAATTGTTCTTGACAGTGTATTCACTGTTAACGTGGGAAAGCATGAGAACCTTTATTCTGGTGTCCGCTCGTCTTACCTGTCATTTTTGACTCCTGAGTCATGGGAACGGGGACTCAAGAGTATGCGTCGGCAGCCGTCAGCCTTTCTCTCACTTCCGTGCTTCCGATTTTCGGCTGCGAAATGTAGCGCCAGGTCATGGGAACCGGTTTGGATCGGGGTGTGGGGGGGGGAGGGGGGCTTCTGCACGCGTTTACACCTCCGTATCACTCCGCAGTTGTGGACACCCTCTGAGTCTCACTTGCATTCCACGTGCCGGTAGAATATCAAATATCAAGCGTTTTTGTAATGCATTTACCTATATTGCAGGAGATTAACACGCGCAGAGCGATTGCAAAAGAAAATAACGTGTCTGTGGCCAGAGTTTAAAACTCTCCGTATTTTCGCTAAATGCATATCATGTTAAATCATTTCTTTGCTCGGGTCATCTTACTTGCTGTTGGGGGAGAAATACGCGTGCGCTCCTGTGAAATGCACGTCGATGGTCCATTCGCACGTGCTGAAGGGAAGGTTTAGTGTACATAGCGCCTTTCCTGCGGTGACACCTTTACAAAATGTCCGAGATTAAAGGACTCGCCGCCGTGGGAAACAGATGGAGGTGAGAAGAGAGGTTTGAGAGACTCCTTTGCATGTCAGGGTCCATTTGGTTATTTTTCTGGNTTAAAGGACTCGCCGCCGTGGGAAACAGATGGAGGTGAGAAGAGAGGTTTGAGAGACTCCTTTGCATGTCAGGGTCCATTTGGTTATTTTTCTGGAATTCGTAAAATATTAATAGATGTTAATAAACAATGGCGTAATGAACGTAACGTATGAGGATGATTTTACATTTAATTAGATTAACGCATAGTGCCTCCCGCGTGTCTTCAGAGGTCTCAGAGATAATCCTCACCAGAGGCATCACTGTGTGGTTTGGAACCAGGAAATGAAAACTCTCCAAAGTCATAAAGACTGCAAGAGGATTACTGATTCTGCCCTCCACTGAGACTATGTACACACGCCGCTGCTGGTCTACAGCACAGACCATCGCCAAAGACCCCCATCCAGGGCGTGGCAACAAAACTTGGGCCCAGGACAGAATAGCTTGCCCCCCCCCCACCCACTATGTCAAATACTGGTAATTATGCTGACTTGTCAATATGAAAGTATTGGCTACTGTCACTGTGACTCTGAATACTATTTACAATGATTGTTCATGTCCTGAAAGAGAAAATTCTTACTTTGATATTATTATTGTATTATTTTATAATTTTATGTTCCATGTGGGGTCACCGTTCAAACCCGGTCTTGCCCGGATGGTCACATGTCTGCGGGCCCTTGAGCGAGGCCCTTAATCCCCCGCTCCCCTTTGCTGTGGCCCCCAGCTTGCTCTCATCTGTAAGGGGAACAAGATGGAGTAAAAACAACAAAAAGATAGAGTTAAATTTTCCACGTGGATTAATGAAGCGTAATCGATCACTGCTGACCCCAAACCCCCTGGTCACTCTCAAAGTCTATCACCATGTGCTGCATTGGCAATTCATCTGTTTGCTGCTGTGTCTGTTTGCCATATACATTATAAAACCACCTCCAAACCACAATCTGTTCTCCGCTGTTTCTCTCTTTCACCCATCCTCTCATTCTGTTACGGCCCAATCCTAGACTGGGTCTTAACAGCATAGAAATTTTTAACTTCAGCTTCATGGGTGCAGGTCTGGAGGCTGTTACCATTCACAAATGACCAGTTGAGCATTTCAAACTTTGTGGAAACACGTAGAGCTAAAAATGATACAAAACCCTTAAAATTCTCTGTTTGTATAATAGATGTACTTTTAATAGTAATTTAAATTTCAATAAAAAAGAATTATATTTTAAAAACTCTGTTTATGTAGCATAAATGAGTAATTCCACATTTGATTTAGTCCTACAAAGATATAATGCGAATTGTTCTTGACAGTGTATTCACTGTTAACGTGGGAAAGCATGAGAACCTTTATTCCTGGTGTCCGCTCGTCTTACCTGTCATCTTTGACTCCTGAGTCATGGGAACGGGGACTCAAGAGGATGCGTCGGCAGCTGTCAGCCTTTCTCTCACCTCCGTGCTTCCGATTTTCGGCTGCGAAATGTAGCGCCAGGTCATGGGAACCGGTTTGGATCGGGGTGTGGGGGGGGGGGAGGGGGGCTTCTGCACGCGTTTACACCTCCGTATCACTCCGCAGTTGTAGACACCCTCTGAGTCTGACTTGTAATCCACGTGCCGGTGGAATATCAAATATAAAGCGTTTTTGTAATGCATTTACCTATATTGCAGGGTATTAACACGCGCGGAGCGATTGCAAAAAAAAAGGGTCTGTGGCCAGAGTTTAAAACTCTCCGTATTTTCGCTAAATGCATATCATGTTAAATCATTTCTTTGCTCGGGTCATCTTACTTGCTGTTGGGGGAGACATACGCGTGCGCTCCTGTGAAATGCACGTCGATGGTCCATTCGCACGTGCTGAAGGGAAGGTTTAGTGTACATAGCGCCTTTCCTGCGGTGACACCTTTACAAAATGTCCGAGATTAAAGGACTCGCCGCCGTGGGAAACAGATGGAGGTGAGAAGAGAGGTTTGAGAGACTCCTTTGCATGTCAGGGTCCATTTGGTTATTTTTCTGGCACAGACCATCGCCAAAGACCCCCATCCAGGGCTTGGCAACAAAACTTGTGCCTTGGACACAGTAGTTTGCAACCTGGCTAGTCGTCAGGTCCCCCATTACCCACAGTCCTAATCCCTTGTCCCCACATCCATGACACTCACCTTAGGCTCCAAAGACCTGAGAGCTGCATCTAACACAAAACACATTTTCCTGTCAATTTATTTCCAGTAGCAATCAGTTGCTAAAGGATGTTCAGGATGGAGAGAAATACCTCAGCTGCCACCCCCACAAATCTCTGAACCCCCCCCCACAACTCCATCCACCCATCTGGGGTCGGGTTGCAGGAGCAGCAGTCTAAGCAGGAATGCCCAGACCTCCCTCTCCCCAGCCACCTCCTCTAGCGGGATACCAAGGTGCCCCCAGGCCAGCCGAGACCCAGCACGTCCTGGGTTCTGCCCCATGGTCTCTTCCTGGTTGGACATGCCTCCCCAGGGAGCCGCCCAGGAGGCATCCTAGATAGTTGCCTGAACCACCTCAATTGGCTCCTTTCGATGCAGAGGAGCAGCCCCTCCTGAATGTCTGATCTCATCACTCTATCCCAAAGGCTGAGCCCAGCCACCCTGCGGAAGAAGCTCATTTCTGCTGCTCGTATCCGCGATCTCATCCTTTCAGTCACAACCCAGAGCTCATGAGCATAGGTGAGGGAGGGAACGTAGATCGACCAGTAAATTGAGAGCTCTGCCTTCTGGCTCAGCTCACAGCTTGAACATGAACCTGAGATACTTAATCTCCTCTGCTTGAGGCAGCGACTCATCTCCATCCAGGAGAGGGTAATCCACCATTTTCCGGTCGAGAACCACGGCCTCAGACTCGGAAGTGTTGATCCCCATCCCGGCCTCCTCACACTCAGCTGCAAACCGCTCCAGTGCATGCTGCAGGTTACCAACCCGCAACGCCGACAGGACCAAGTCATCCGCAAAAATCCAATATGCGTTCCTGGGCCCCCAAAACTGAACAGAATCAGTGACGAGGGGCAGCCTTGACAGACCTACATCCAACTGGAATGAATCTGAGTTACTGTTGGCAACGCAAACCAAGCTCCATCTGTACAGGGACCTGACCCCATACTCCTGGAGCAGCCCCCGCAGGGACTCGACCAAAGGACCCTCCTCTCCAGTATCCCGGCATAGACCTCCCCAGGGAGGCTGAGCAGTGTGATCCCACTATAGTTGGAACCTCTGGTCCCCTTTCTTAAAGACTGGGACCACCGCCCTAAGGCCCACAATCCTAACGCACTGTCCCCAACCTTCATGCAACGTTGAAGAGGCGCGTCAGCCAAGACAGCCCAACAACATGAAGAGCTTTCAAGGAACTCAGGGCGAATCTCATTCACCTCCGGAGCCTTACCACCGAGCAGTTGTTCGACCAGTGACCACTTCAGTGACCTCAGCCCCAGAGATGGGCAAGTCCCCCCCCACAGAGATGGCCAAATCTTCCAGTTCTACCGCCCCCCCCTAACTACCAATGATAATTAATGCACCTTATTCATCTACCGTTCAACCTTTGTATCTATTAAATTATTTACTGTTATATAGTAAAACCCGAATAGTCTTCTTGCTGTTTTTAAATATTGACTAAGGGAACCGTGCAAGAATTCCAGTGTACTCGTACTTCTGTGCCAGTGCAAATGGCAAATAAAGCCTCGGTTCAGTTCATTTTAATGGAGGCAATGTGGTAAAGGAGCCGCACACATAAATGTCAATGATAGCTTTTAGGAAACGGTCGCTAGTAAATTGCGCAAATTTATGCGACCTACTTTGAAAAGTGCTGTTAATCTTGAATGATCACCAGTAAGAATTGCACTTCGCTAGAAGCCCAGAACTGAAGTGGGAGCGTGGGATAGCGTGTTGGGCTCCGTTCACTCCTGTGGATTTATTTATTTATTTTTGCTTTTTATTTACCTGTTAAATGACTGCGGAAGTCCTCCCAACTGTGTGCGGGACATGCGCTTCATTCGCCCAAATCGGCGGGGGTTTACTTTTTTCACGCTTTCAGACGACTTTGTTGACACCTTACTCTGGCGCCCGGCTGTGAAAACGTGTTTCCAAAACGTGACGTTCGGTCTCCCGACGAGGATCAAACATCCTTACACGGGCATTAACACCTCAAAGCATCCTCCCATTGTGTTTTCCACGAGTCTGATCGGATTGGGCATTTTCTAGGTGGGGAACCTTTACAGCAAAGTAGTTATTTTATTATAAACACTATATGTACATATTACTCACTCAAAAAGGGTAGGTTTAGTGAAGGGAAAGCGCAATGGTATACAGAAAGACCTTAATGCCAGAACATATATTTTCACATTACGACACGAATCATATTTTTATATATATTCTTTAGGGACTTAATCAGTCCTGCTTATTAGAATGTTATGTAAAACATAAGCAGCTTAATAAACCTATTTAATGTTGAATTCCAGTTACAAAGAGGAAGCCGTGTATATAGATTAAAAACGAGAACTTGACAAACTCATCAAGGGAGACTCAAACACAAAATCTGGCCTTAGGCAACATTTTCCACAAACCACTACTTTTTACGATGATTCTCGATATAAGTAAAATAATTGCAGCATTTTGGCTCTGAGCTTTTTGTCTCTGAACTTTTTGGCTGGGCATACCGATCCATAGTGCGCCCCGTAGCCTACTGTCTATCTTCTGCTATTCTGCTTTTCTGAATCGTTCCCATGGCGGCCTGATCCTTTGATCCTTTGAACTGCAACATCAAACGGTGCCACAGACCTGGCGCGGCGCGTGGCTTTTACGCACCTCCGATTTAAGCTGCGCGCGAGGTGTCACGTTCATGAGGTCTATCCAGGTGAAACTAAATGTACATGCGGAACAAATCTGAAGAACTGACAAGTTGCTAATTTTAACATTTTATTGTACAAAATATAAGCTGAGGGACAAATAGAAAATATTAAAATAAATAGTTGTGCAAAAATAGAAGATGTATGTATATAACTACTGAAGTAAAAATGCAGAGTACCATTTATGCGGAAAGTCATGCACTGACAGATCTAGCATTATACACATTTGTTAGTTATTTTATGTGACAGTGATGATACACATCCAAAGTTAAACATTTTTTCGCAATTAACCAATACATTTAAACGAAGACTTGGATGAGATGTACATTTGCGCAGTCAAACGGAAATCATTATGGTGAAAATAATCTATTAAAATACATATTTAGAATATTTACATATACAACAGTTTTGAACTAAATCTATTTTTAGGAATACAGCGGTGTTTCAAACACATCCTACATATATACATATATTTTATTATGGACCAGAGTTTTGTTGCTAAGGAAAGCAGAATATAAATATTCTATATATTATATTTGTAAAAACGGAGAAGTGTCCTAATTTAAAGAGTTTTTATGGCCACGGTCTCCACATAACCTGGCTGACTGGGGGAGAGTGAGGGGACCGAGGAGAATCTCTTTGGGGGCGCTGAAGGACGTTGGAGTCTCCATACGCCAGAGCAACTCTGTGGTGGAGGGGGGCGCTGCTTCTGAACGCGATGCGGCGCTGCCACGTCTGCGCAGACAGTTCTGTAGAGTCGACGGGGGGGCACCGAGCGACGACCGGAGCTTTGGCGCCGGCGCACACGCGCCAGTGGAAGAACTTGGATTGCAGGGTCGCATCCACGTGCAGCGCCGCCCCACTGCCGTGCAGGAACCGGGCAGCTCGCTGCAGGCACGCGGAGAATCCGTCCTGGACTTGCTGCTGTTCGCCAACTTTGCTTCCCTTCCCACTGGATTTCTTCAGGAACAGAACGGTCTCCTCCAGGATCTCAGCTTTCTCGATCCTACGACTTATTTTGCCCTGTAACAAGAAGTAATGAGTCAGCGAGTGGTGTAAGTTACTCTGGTAAGTGCGCTCTGGCTCATGTGCTGGACAGGAGGGGCGATACAAGCGGGACAGACCTGGTGTTGGGAGTCCTTCAACAGCAGGACTCTCAGAGCCTCCAGACTGCGGTTCATCCTCTCCCGTCTCTGTTTTTCCACCTGAGGTTTGAGTAGCTGTAAGTGGGTAAAAGTTGATGAGCAGGGGTGAGATGACAGTGACTCGACATATTTTTAATGGTCAGCCAAAATAAAAGATTTTAAAAACCAGGCTACTTATACACATGAGTGATAGTGGCTGCTAAGATTTCATGTAGTCCACGGATAAAGTATATGGGCCAAGCATGTTTTCGTTTTCTAATTTGATATGTTGCGGAAATATTTATATAAGTTACCTTTCTGGTGGTTTTTAAGTCTTCGTCTTGAGTTCCTCCCGGCAGTCTCATTCTGAAATTCAGCAGCGTGTCTTCGGTGTTGGTTGATAATTCGTGACCTTAAAAAGGGCCCTTCGTATTTGCAGATCTTGACAGCGAACGCTGGCTATAGGCATACAGCACCTTCCTGAGAGAGAAAGTCCTGCCGGCGTCCTTTTAAACAGCTCAGGTGTCGAAATGTGGCTCCACCCACAAGAGGCACAACCTCTAAAATTTGCATATCAACCAGTTAACAGTCCTTTTTTCTTTTTTTGCTGAAAACAGTAACTAGTTCTTTGCAAGACTGCGTCAAGACTTAATAATTTGCTAGAAATATGCCTATAATTATATTTCGGTGAAAGGAAGTAGGTTATTAAAACATTACGTATTGAGTGAAAATTGCAGAATATAATGGTACAATCATAATAAAGTAACGAGGCAACACACATGCCAGGGAGAGCTATATACAGTTCTAAAGAGATAAATTAAATAAAAACACATTTTTAAAGTTTTCACTGCTTTAAGATTTAAACAGGAACTAATTTCTTTCTTAAAAGCACATTTACACTTCTGAATATGAAACTTATCCATGAAAACAATTAATCAGTTTTAACACTTTAAAGATTTATCAAATTTTCATAGGAACTGAGCTTTTGCTGATTTTCATTGAGCCCAAACAATACGTGTTTCCAAAAAAGAACAAAAACCATAATATTCATAGAAATAAAATCTTAAGAAGTTTGCCAAAACAAAATTAGCAAACGGGCAGTTCCGAAACTGAAGTAGGTTTACAGTGAAACAAGTCAAATAAAGTAAGGAAAGGAAACAACGGATTGCATAACGAAACAGCGTGTTTTAATAAAATATATTATGTTCCTTTCTAACGTACTAGGAACTCGGCCTGTGATTATAGGATTAGCATACCCTTTCATCCTAAAATGTAAAAAAACCCAATTTAGGGTTTCCATCGGGTGCCACGCGGCGAAAGGACGGCGTCTCCAGCGGCGTCTCGACACCTCGACTTCCGTCGGCGCGTGGAGCGATGCAAATGACCACGCTTCGCACTTAACGCGCCAGTAAATTCATTGTCTTTTCCAGCTCCTTTTTAATCTCCCCAAAAACGTTTCCAAATCACACACTTAAAGTAAAAAAAAAAAAAAAACTTTACACAGTTAAACTTATGAACATGTATATTAAAACCAGCAAACAAACGGGATAATAAAGATTATTATTCTGCGGTTTTAAGTTTTCTTTTAGGTAGAGTCAGGCGGTTATGCACAAAGCATTTTGCAGTGTATTTGTGTTCTTTAGCGATTGATTTCTTGTTAATAAATGTAATATAAACAAACTTCTGATTTTTAAGCTTTTCGTTTCAGACTGGGACAAGATAAAGAAAGAGAGCTTATTTTAGGTCATGACATTTGGCAACACGCTCCGTTCCGTTCCCACGGAAGTTACTTGCTTTGATCCTTTTCGCATACTATAAGTGACAAAACAGGTGATAGCGCGTGCCTTGCGCGCACCTACAAATTATGCAGCATGTGGCAAGACGAAGGAAAATTTGACAAGAATAGATGTGAAAAGTTAATGTAACATTTAAATTTCTTGGAAGACATAAAAACCATTTTATTTCACATTCGTTGGAATTATGTAAGTAAACACATTACATAGTATGTAGCGTCTGTAGTAAAAATAAGATTTCTTCACAATGTAGCAGTTAAAACCGAAATCCAGTTTGTGCAACAACAAAAAAAACCACATGATCACACCCAAAACTGGAAAAAAACTACCGAAAACTGTAACTGAACATGTATTACTTTAAGCCATTAACGATATTTCATTTATTTATACTCTTTAAAAAATAATTTCCCGAGTTCTTGGCGAATGTAATGTACATCTTGAAGCGACTAACATGACGAAAGTTGGGGGCACGCGCCCCTCGAGGTGTGAGGCCACTCGTGCCTTTGGGCTGACTTGTGAAAAGTCGAGCATCACTCCGAGTGACGTCACACACGCGTGTCTCTGCACTGAGATTTGAAGTAAGAAGTCCCTCCTTATTATTCACATTTACCTGAACTTCAATTAGGCTACATGTTTGTCATCTAAATGACAAAAAAAATGTCAGCGTGCTTGAACATTTGTACCATGAATACTCTGGATAAGACTGTAAATATACCCACAAATGTTTTAAAGTAATGCTTTTTTTGAATGTGGATGAAAAGTACTTTAGAATTGTTTGACTGTTTGTGGTTAATTTGCCCTTAATCTGAAATCAGCTTTGATGCGTCTAAACTGTTCTATGTAATGTAATCTCATGCGTTTTCGGACATACCTAACAGTGAGAAATGACTTGTTAATGTGGGAATGTAAAGTGTCTTCGGTTCTCACCGACAAAACTACCTCGTTCCCAGAACCCCACAGCGTGAGAATGGCTCTCACCTGCAAGGTCCACCAGACTGCTCTCCTTAAGGAACTCACCAGGTGCCTGATTTAAATGAGAACGTATAGCTTGCGTGCTTGTAAATAGGCCAATAGTCCAAATATATGTATAAAAAGCGACGTTATTGTTACAAGAGAATGGTCATCAATAGTCCCATTTTGGTTGCCTTTTAGTCTCTGCTCTGAATTACAATTAGCCTACTTTGACTGCTTTGTCTCCTAATCTCTTGTTGCCATGGATCAATTCACCTGTGGCTTCTACCATCATAAAACCGACTTCTCGCCTAAGTGTCCTTAGATCTGCGAATCACACCTCAGTGTTACACGGCTGTGGGAAACGCTGCGGACAAATGGTCACTCATTGCATTGTGTAGGATTTTTTTTTTCCATGTTATGTGTAGACCGTGCTGAACTGAACCTTTCAATTATGAACTTGAATTTCTTATTTACGCACTCACAGAACTAAAACCTGGAGTGACACAGGTAAAAAAAAAATCGTATCCGCAGAGATGCACGTCAGCGAGGCCAGTAAGGCAGTAACGTGCATCGCTATAGATATGCATTTTTTTTTGTCTCACTCCAGGTTTCAGTTCAGTATTCCTTCATACGTAAAAATTAGTACACTACGCTACTTGCGTACCAGTTACGTGGATCCCCGTGTATAGAGAAATAGAAAAAAATATTTGGAAATGAAAGCATTTCCTGTAATCGTGTATATCCACCGCTCGAAATATTTTGCTTAAAATGAAATGAATCATTTTCCCAAGCTTTTGATTTGGTTAGTCCCATGTCACAAGGTCGAGAAGTCAACATGAGCAGCCGAGAACAAACCATGCGGGTGTTATAATATAAACAGTGGCGAGGGAGGATTTTTGTGTTACTCGTTTGATATGAAATGAGATACAAATGCTAGCAGGCAATAAGGACGAGGTGCGTATTCGCCTCGGCTCTGGGAGTGAATCTTGAAGCGGCTCCCACAGTGACACTTTCCCCTGCGCGCGCTAACCCTTTTTTGAAATGCATACTTTCATTGCTTAGAACTGTGTTTGTGTTTAAACTCATATAGCCTATTAATTATATATTGCATCACATTTGCCTCATAATATATCGGCCTATAGCGAATAGCATGAATTATGACGTGACTGTGAGTAAGAAAATGCAATCATAACATCATAGCGAATCATAGCGAAACTCATGGATAGATGTGTTTATTGATGCACGTGGACGCATATAATATATAGAGCCCGTGGTTCGAGTTTAGAAACGCAATAAAAATAGGTAACTTGATTTTGAATGCCTAGCCATTTGCTTAGTGAGGTGTGAGGGGACACGTGTGGGGGGGTAAAAAAATCTGGCGTGTGCCGAGTTCACGCCTCAAGCAACACACGCGTGGGTGTTGCTTGTTCCCACTTGCCATTTGGGTCCACGAGGTCTAACGTAGAGTTTAACTTGCTCGTCTTCCACTACCCTCACATAACTAATATTTAATTAAACAATATAGCCTTGGTCTGTATGTTTAAATACCCGGGAAAAACATAATTTTATCCTCAAAACCTTATCGATTGATATAAATAGATTTTTCGCACAACAGTACAAATACCGTTGTAATTCAAACCAGTTGATTTGGTAAATAACACAAGCAACACAAAAATCTTTCAAAACTCTAATATATGATCTCTATACGTTGTCACTGTCTAGGCTACGGCACCTTGCACTTAAATGCATTTGGCATTGCCTTAAATGCAAGTTGATTAAATAACAATGAAATTACACCCTTGACTGAAATGGCCAGTTCCTATAACAAACGCTCGCCAGAAGGTGTCGCAAGCTCTCCTCGGACTTCTTGTTCCTGAGCCTTTCCAAGAATTCCAGCGCTGAGAATACTTCTTTGAAGCAAGTTAAAAACCACCCGAAGCTTTTTAACCCATCTACAAACTGTATTACTGTTGGTGTTTTTGTGAAGTGTCATTTGCAGACTGCACTGGGAATAAACATCGTCTCCGGACTTTGGGGTCCCCTGCGATGAATTCGCCAAGCGGCGGGGATGAGGAGATCCTATTATGAAAACTTTTGCCAAGCGATCCGTTTTCCCGACCGGGGGCGCCCCTCGCGACATTTGCTCTGTATGCCAGGCAGCCAGTCCAGCCCTCGTCGTTAGTTACGTCGTTAGTTAAGAATGAGTTAATAATCTAGATGGGGTAACGAGAAGATAATAAATGAAATCCGTTAAAACCCTGTTTTCCTGTAAGCCTATACACGTGTAAGCCGGTTAGAGAATGAACCATCTATATTTTAAAATATTTCATACTGCAGATCTTTTTTATTTTTTCCCTCAAAAATTTTCATTATCTCATAAGCCTGTTGATTGGCGTCGAACGAGTCCGTGTCACTGAATTGTGCCTCTTTATTATTATTATTATTATTATTATTATTATTCGTTAGTAGAAGTATAGCGGTAGCAGTCATCGTCCTCGCCTGGTGCTAAACAATGCCATTCGCTTTATTTCCTGTTTGTTGCAGAAAGTTTGCATTTTTTTGGGGGGGCATTTTTTCCCGGAAATAATATATGCCTTTATACTGATCCTACTTGTCTGTCATTTCCCGTTGTAACATAAAAGACTATGCACAGCAAACAGCTGAGGCCTACATCAGCAACACCCCTATACAGAT